TGTTAAGGATCTTCTCTTTCTTTTCTTCTTTTGCATGCTTCCCTGAGAAAGCACTCAGCCTGTATGTCTGGAGAGGGGATTCTGTCATGCTCTGCGGTCCGGAATCAGAGCGCTGTGGCCAGGGCCACTGAGCACTTAGCACCTAACGGGTGCCCATGCATTAAGTTACTGGAGGGCTTTATAATGTAGAATCCCTTGATCACCAGAAAAGATGTATTGGGCCACAAGTAAAAAAATAAGAAGTGTGGAAGCTTTCGATAAGATAATTCTCTTTAGCTGTGAAGTTCCATGTGGTCATTTCTTCTGTACAGCCAAAACCATGACGTTTCTAAATGTAATGAAGTAATGAATATTTAAAACATCATCGCCACAGTACCTTTCACATAGGTAGTAAGAGATACATTCCTCTTCATTCTAGTAAGTAGCCCGACCTCACTAATCTGCTAATTGAGGATTTAAGGAAGAAACTTGAGTTGACTTCCAGACCACATTAAGAGAACTTTGCAGATACACCACTTAGTGCTGTGAGTACAGCCGTCAATGTTAAACTCTCAGCTTCTGCCCCAGTGTGTGCCTGCACATGTCCATATTACCAGTCTGTCTCTTGTGACACTGGGGACGACGCACGCTGAGGACTGCTTATCAAAAAGAAGCTTTCACAGCTGTGACTAAGGCCCATTTCTCACCCAGTTCTATTAGGATCTCTAGGAGCGGCTCCTAGACATTGGTGGGATTTTTCCTTGGGGGAAAAGTTACGTTATGGTGACATGTACAGGTGCTCAGTATGTCATTCAAGGAAGAGATGGAGCAGCTATCTGTATAACCCAAATCCCTGTAGCCACAGAAGGCTTGCTCTTGTCCCAAACTCCTCTCCCCAGACAACCACTGTTCTGATCGTTTCTATCATGGGTAAGTTTTCGCTAGTTCTTAGGACTTTATATAACTGGACTCTGGCATTTTTAAAAGCTTCCTAGATAGTAAACACTGATGCAGGATCTCTAAATCAGAGGAACACTTTGTTAAATGAGGGATAAGATTCTCTTGGAATATTACATGTATGAGGGGAAATTTGAGAACACTCTGGACAGTTCATCACACAGAACTAAGAACAGTGTTGGGTCCTATCCACTGCACTGTGTACCCTTTCCCACTTTACTGAAGTAGCCACTTTTCAGGATTCAGATCTTTTTTTTGGATAGTACTTAAGATCAAACCTGCAGGTGTTCTACCACTGAGGTACATCCCCAGCCTGCATTCTTTTTTAAAATTTACGACAGGATTTTGCTAAGTTGAGAAGAGATACGCTTAACAACTTGGCTTTAAGCAAATTTAAACATAATAGCATTAGATTTCCACCCTCTATTATAAGGTGAGATTTTGTGAAATTAAGGTTCTCAGCATGAACTATGCAGACTCATAGTCTTCCCCCAAACAAAAAAGTGTTGCTGTCCCTGGTTATACTGTTTCCAGTTCATTTAAAAATGTTTAAACATGGTGGTGCATGGCTGTCATCCCAGCACTGGGAGACTGGAGCAGCTCAAGCCCAGCGTGGGCCATTTAACAAGATCCTCTCTCAAAATAAAAACTAAGAAAACGTTTGGGGATTTAGCTCAGTGTAAAGCCCCCTCCCCCATACTGATAGAACCAGGTTTAGGAGCGTGTTACACCCACAACTGTGTAGATCCTTTACTGGGAGGAGCAGGGACTGGAAGCAGACCTGTGTTTACACTGGATAAGCACAGAAGCAAGCTGGTGCATAAGCCACCAAAACCGGAGCACCGTTTCCTTACTGTTGCAGAGTGTTTCAGTACAGTGATATTAATTCAGATCCTAGCAATGCTTACTTTCGCCCACAGATTTCTTTATTTTGTAGGACTCTAAAACCAAGAGAGTTTAGATTAAACTATGGGAGTAAACTACTTTATAGGTTTAAATAGAACACGGAAAAGGAAAACAAATACTCCAGCACACACACAGAGTCCATAGCAGCCGTGGGACAGCGGCACAGGTTTTCATGCTGGATGTTTTGCTAAGGCTGGCAGTCGTGCTGAGACACCCTCTCCCGTGTCCTTACTCCAGTCACTGCGCAGCTGGGAGCTGAGCTTCACGTTATCCAAGGGAGCTTGAGTTACTCAAAAGAAAGTTAGGACAGCAGCATATTCTTGTCCAGGTAATAGAGTGAAGGGCCAGGCATAATATTTAACGAAGACTAAAATGTATGTCAGTACCGTGTAAAGTGCTGGTTTTTTATTTCCTCTGAATAATATGTTACCTATTAATAGAATCACACCTCCACTGATAGTATTACAAGTCTTCTAGCCTGGTATAGATTGATTTATCTGTATTTGCACAGATCCATAGTTTAATGATGATATTAATATTTGAACAGAGCAGTGTTAATTATATACTCAAAATGTTTCAAAGCTGATGTGATAGGAGGGCACACCGCTAGAAGTGTTTATTTGTATTCTCTTTTTTTAAGGGAAGATAGATTTTAAGAGCTAAGAAGTAGAAGTGACCACTCCTGGCTCTTTTCCCTTTTTCTTCGCGATATCTGACAGCTCAGACTGCTTGTTTAGCATAGAGAGGAATGTGTTGAGGGATGTCCATGCTGGTGAGAACACTTGTCCAAAAGCATTAATTAGAAAGCCGAGTGTACCTCCCATACACGGAGCTCTCCTTCTGTGTGACTTGAGGGATGCAGAACAAAAGCACCACTCCCTGCCATAGGCTAGGGTAGGGAGGGGGCTGCTGATAGTCCTCAGATGCTTGTGTATATGGAAATGCTGGGCATCTTGTCAAAAATGAGAGTGATTTTAAGTGTTCTTAACATACACAAACAAAAGTATGTGAGGGTAATATAAATGATAATCAGTTCTATTTAGCTGTTCCATAATGCAGACATATTTCAAAACATGTATACAGTAAGTAAATATAATTTTTATTTTGACAGTTAAAACATTTTAATTAAAAAGAAAAGAATTGTGGGTTTGAGATTTAGCTTAGTGGTAGAGTGTTTGCCTACTGTGTGCATGGCCCAGGACTTGGTACCCCCCACCCCAAAAGGAAAACCCCAACACAGGCCAGTACAGAGACAGAATTACTAACTGAGGTCGGTGTTTAAAATTCTGCGTGTCTCTTAGCAGTGCCTGTGGTTAACATGGTGCTCATAAATTACTGAGGTTTGTCACCCCCCCATGTGGCTATGTTATTCTTTACAGTTCATTTAAATTAATTTGTACCTGATTGAGGGATGAGAGAGACAGAGACAGTGAAAGAGAGAGAAAGAGAGACAGACAGACAGATACAGACAGACAGAGATGTAAAGCAACATTAGCCTCCTTCCCCTAAACACTGTAAGCCTGGTGTTCAGGAAGTTTCATTGCATCTTTAACTCCTTAGCTTTGCCTATTGAGCACCCAGGTTGGACCATGTATGGAAGCCACCTGAGGAATTAGCAAAAAACAAAACCCCAAAAAACCAGACCACATCCCTACTTCCTGAATTCCAGCTAGATGCCTAGGAGTGAGACTTACTTGCATTCTGCAGAATGTTCCATCCATGCCTCTGTTATGTGGGCAGGTTAAGAAAACTGCTCTGTGATTGGCACCGAGAAGCCTTAGAAGTCACTGAGGAGAAAAGCACTGCCTGTTTCTGTGCTTTGCTGTCTGGCATCTGGATGGAAGGAAGGAAGCCAGTGCTTGAAACATGAAATTAAGTTCTACATTATAAAGTGAATTTCTGCTTTTTAGTCGGATATTTTAATCTGTATATGTGTAATCCGTTTGTTTAAGTCTTAGCTAAAAATCCTGTTACATGAAAATTACTTGTTCTTTCCTTCTGGTATTTAGTATATTAAAATGGCTTCCTGTGTATTAAGTTCTTTGGGCAGGAATTATTGGTCTGAAAAAAATCAATGCATCTATTAAAAGTGGCCAGAGCTATCCAATCCCTTGACAGTGTGTTCTAGCTATTTAAAATGTCCAGAATTTTGGCTTTGATTTCACACTGTGGTACTTTCTCAACTTTCACTAAGTAAATACACGTGTCTTTGTTCCCTAGCTTTTTAGAAATGACGTAAAAGGTTGAATCCAGTATTTTTTGTTACATTTTTTTCTGAGAGATAAAATGAAGAAGCTAATTAGCCTGTAGGCCAGACTAATACACAGGAATTATTACTAAATAGATCGAAACATTTTAAAATGGAGAGGTTAGTGTGCAGCTGCACTGTGCATAATTCATATGACATAGATTTTCAAAATAACCTTTGAAGAGTAATGTTATATTCAACTTTTGTATTCAATATTGTAAATTTAAGGGGTTCCCAGAAGACTTCAGTCATTGATTTTTGATTAAATAAGTAATTCTCCATTATATTTGTTTTAGTCAAAATTGTTTAATGTTTTAAAATATAAGGAAAAGAATTTTTTAATGAGAGGTCAATAGTTTCTAAACTGTGTTAAGAATAACGGTATCTTTGAACTCCTGCCGGTAACATTAAACATTGTTTCTGTTATGCAGATATCAAAGATTTCTCTTTATCAAATGTTGGAAGTGGTACATCTTTTACTCTTTGCACATTGTAACCCTTTATAAGATTTGACGTGAATATGGACATATGAATGATCAGACTTTATATTTGGCTTCTTCTCTCTTTAACAGAGCATTAAGAAGAAGAATACAAATAAACAGGAGATGGGCACATATCTGAGGTTCATTGTCTCCCGAATGAAGGAGAGGGTGAGTCCTACACAGAGAATCTTCTGGAATCTCCCAAAATGAGTTTTATTCAGATTCATGTTTTCAAAGCTAATGTCTGAGAAGTAACAAATATGATCAATATAGGATGTGGAAACTATTGCATTTGTATTTCTTTTCTGCAGTGAACAGTTTTGTATTAGGCTAGATTTTTGTTTTGTCTTTTTACACGAGCATTGTTAGCTGCTTTAGATTAGAAACACATTTAAAAATCTCACTTATTAAAATGAACATTTTCATTGATGATTATTGATGTTTAAAATGAAATTGAACTTTACAAAATAACTTTTGCTTCTGTCAAAGCTTTATAAAATTTTCAATGAACAATAATAGTGCCTTGGATAAACCCCATTGGTTACGATACTGCCACTGCGCAAAGCTAAAGCTTGAAAGAATGCTACATGAAACTGAATAGTGCATAAACATTTTTTCATTAATTTTTAAAGTATTTCTTGTATATGATTTCTCTTAAAAGGTAAAGAATATTTTAAGGGTTGATGCTTTCCCGTCTCTCTTTAGCCAGTTTAAACCTGATGTGTCTAACAACCTTTCAGGCTATAGATCTCAATAAGAAAGGGAAGGACAGTAAACACCCCATGTACAGGAGGCTGGTGCATTCAGCTGTCGACGTCCCCACCATACAAGAGGTACGTACTCCAGTTCCTTTCATTTCTGCTTCAAATGCATTTTCTTAAATAATAAGGATTTACACTTAAACAGTGGTTCTGGTTGCTATTCTTTCCATGACAGTGTGTTCTGTCCACTTTCTTACTAAAGGAAGAGAAGGCGTGACCACCAAATGAAGCAGTTTCTTGTGACTTTACGTGCTCACTCTAGTGCAGACTGGGTGTCACATTTTAAGAGGATTGTTATGAACAACCTATGCCTTCTCGGTACTTGTTGATTAAAGAAAATATATTCTAGCCTAGGCAATTGACCGTTGCATATGTAAAGTATTCATCTTTGGACATGGTTTTCTCGTTTTAGAGTAGTTCATGGGAGTTTCTCTCAGATAAAATTTAGAACCTAGAACTAATCTAAAATCTTGTGGAAGTAATGAACAACATAAGGATTGTGACTGGAAGCTTCATTGTTCTTAAATGTTCGTTTACCTACCATCACTGAGGATTTTTGACGAATTTGTTAATTTAACTACAAATTACAGTAAACACAGAATCATACATTTTAGTCAGGATTGCAGAATTACTAACTTCGTGTTACTTGTATCTTATTGAGAATTTAAAATCTCATGATTGGCTGTAAATCCCTCTAAGAAATAATTTAAACATTACCCACAGGAATAATTTAAGATCATCCTACAAATTTCCAAATCCCCTTCACTGAAAAAGGCTAGCTATGTTTATGTGGAAATAAGGATAAATGAGCCGGGCGTAGTGGCGTATACCTGTAATCGCAGCACTTGGGAGGCTGAGGCAGGAGGATCGCTGTGAGTTCAAGACCAGCCTGGGCTACATAGTGAGTTCCAAGTCAGTCTCAACTACATAGTGAGACCCTGTCTGGAAAAAAAAAAAGGATAAATGAAAGTTTTTACCCTCAAAGGTGGTAGCACATTCTAGGACAAAAAACAAAGTAATTTGAACGTTACCTCCTCCTTCCATATTACCTGGCTACAAGCATAGCTTTTTCTCTTAAACTTTGAGACCTACAAAGGACACGTAAGCACCCACCATACCTCCCACTGCCCTCTCTTTGTTTACACTGTTTCCTTGCCATTGAAATCCTTTAAGACCCAACTCAGTGGCCTTTTCTTTCTGTAAGTCTCCCGTATTTATCCAGTCTGATCCCTGAAGACCTGGGCTAGTGCCTCCTGGTTAATGGTTTTTTAGCCATATGTTTAACAGGTGCTAATAATGAACTAAAGTACTGTAAATTAATAGGCAGACCACACTTTATGACCTCACTTTACAGTCCTTATATGAGACACCATTAAGAGAAAAACTCGAAGTGTTTGGAGTGCTGAGGGGAAGCTGTCTTCACCCTGGGTATGTTGGATCATTTGGATGAGGCCTTGAACAGTACCAATGCCCAAGTTCACCCCAGGCCAACACAATAAAAGTTCAGAGGTGGAACTCAGACATCGATATTTGCAAACGCCCCTGTGACTGTAGATACCGTCTAGGAAGCAGGTGACTCCAGCTTGGAGACTGGGAAGCCTTGGAAGAGAGAGCAGTGGAATAATGGGTCTTGGAGATTTCAACAGGAAGAAGCTGGACGAGCAAAGGCCCGGATGAAAAGGGCCTGGTTTCCCATATTTTCTGCCAATTTCCCAAACATAGCACCAAGATCAGTAAATGTCTCCTTGCTACTTCTAGGTAACTGTGCCATACCTACCCATCTCAAAAACAAACAAAACCTCAGTTTTTCTTGCTAGCCCTCCTCATTGGCAGCCAACAGCAAAGTTCCAGAGAATCCACTGAAGGAAATCCTTGTACATATGTCATTAATGTAAAAGAAACCTTTATATTGCCTGATAGTTAGAGGAACATCTGATACTTCACTTTTAAAGTATTTATAATTCAGTACCGAGTCCTAATTCAGAATTCTTCACATAGCTTAGTAGTATGGTAAACTGCCACAGAGGCTACCAGTTCTGTTTTCTGATCTTCATTCTCTTGTGATGATGGTGGGTATGTGGTTAGGGCCTCACCAGTCCCACTGAGCACAGCACCCGTTTATAAGTTTAGCAGCAGCTTTCATCATTATTGCAGAATGAAAGGTGAAACTGTGAAGTTTCCTCAGGGAAGATAACTCGGAACACACGGTGGGGTGCAGGAGTATCTGCTCTGCCACACTTTATCTTGCTGGAACTCTGAAAGTACAAAGCAGAGTTACTGGTTCCTGCCACACATGGCCCTGTCGGCAGTACGGGACAAGAGAGTCCCGATGTCCTCCTGGAAGATTTCAGCCGTGCCCCACCCTCTCGTTCTCTGAGCATAATCCAAACAAACATTCTCACTAGTAACTCTTGCTGTTTTGTCTTTCGCCATCTACAGAAAGTGAATGAGGGGAAATATCGAAGTTATGAGGAATTCAAAGCTGATGCCCAACTGCTGCTCCACAACACAGTGATTTTCTATGGAGGTTGAATGCTTTTTCTTTTTTGTGCATTTTTTAAAATACCATTTATACCCATGTTGAGAAATGTGTTGTAGAAGTCATTAAATTTAAAAGTTAATACCTCAATATTATCTGTACATAAGTAGTAATGTTAGAATTTAAATTTCTGGGCCTGGGGATTTAGCTCAATGGCACTGTGCCTGCCTCGCCAAGTACAAGGTCCCGAGTTCAATCCCTGGTACAAAAATATTTAAATTTATGAATATTCAGTGATAGTGCTTATAAAGTTGACTGGCCAGTGGCAAAACTGTAGTATTCTTACTGATGTAACTATAATTATTCTTTATGATTTTTAGTTATTTGCCTTAGCTGAGTGGCTTTTTATAGCACTTTGATTAATTCTGATGCTCCCTGTTAATAGCCTGTCATTCAAAGGCAAGAAGTCACTCTGTACCTTCAGAATTAGTGGTGGTGCTGAATGTAAAACAATAGCTGCCTATAGAATTGAATTTTGCTGCCTGCACCTTGTTTGATATACGTGTTTTGGTTTGAAATAATAGGTCTACTTTTGTTAAAAAGAAAGAATGAAGGATTTGACTCAACTTTGATAGTGCTATCTCTAGATCATTGATAGGTTTCTTCATCTTTAATTACAGCAGACAGTGAGCAAGCTGACATTGCGAGGATGCTGTATAAAGACACGTGTCATGAGGTACGAGTCATGATCACAGCTGAAACTCTTGCCATCATCTGCCATTATTCTAGGATTTCACTGTCTCATCTGCATTTTAATTATGCCATCTCCTTTAAATTTTATTTTCATGTTTGACATCCATGGGAAATAACGCAAGTGGGAAAAAATTCTGGCAAAGCTAAGTAAACTTTCAACTATCTCTTGGAGCTGTTTTATTGGTGAGACCGTGCGTATAAATGTGTGGCACCAGGCAGATGATGACTGCTGCCTTGTGAATGAAGGGCTCACACTTGCCTCCCTCCTAGCCTATATCGACAAAACACCAGCCAAAGAACAAAGTGCATATTTACACAACAGATGTTTTTATGGTCTTACTTGAAGCACTTGCCTATATTACGTTTGCTAAAGTTCCTCAATTTAAATAAAAAATTTTAGGACTTCTGTTCATTTTAAATTTGACCTATGCTTTTTGTTCATTCAGCAAATATTTATTGAATGCTGACTATGTGCCAGGCAGTGTGTTAGGAGGAGTCAGGGTATAGACTTCCTGCTCCTGAATCTGCCTTCTGCAAAGACGGACCAGAAAAAAGAAACCAGATAAAGTATGTCCCTTTACCCTTATTAAGAGAATGTCATGAAAACATGCAGGGGACTAACACGGAGGGAGAGGCAGTGTGAGGAGGGCCGTCACCAGCAGTGCTTATTTCGTATGTGCTGTACTGGATGACTCTTACGAAGAAGTGCTGTTTAATCTGAGCGCTGACCAGGCAGATGGGAGCAGAGCGTCCACTGCATTCACCTTCTATTCCATGTGCTCTCTGAGACCACGCAGAGGGTTCTGATGTATAGTGGTAGGCTCTTCCAGGATTGCTTACTGAGAATTTTTTTAAGTGAGCTTAATAGATTGTATAAGCAGAAAAATTCAATACTACTGATGTACTTGAACAAGAATGGTAATTTATGTGAAAGTATTTTATATGTTTTATATAAGTTTAAATAGCTGCTTTTCTTTGCAGCTGGATGAACTACAGCTTTGCAAGAACTGCTTCTATTTGTCAAACGCTCGTCCGGACAATTGGTTCTGCTATCCTTGTGTATGTACAGTTTTGTGGTTTTGTTTTCACTTAAGTGCTTCAGAGAAGTTTATTCCTAACTCACCTAAATACTATGATTTTCCCATGTTATTTTGTGTAGCACATTATATATGGTTTTGATTATTATGAACACTTGAACACGGGGAAATAACTGAGATCATTCTTCACTTTTGAATTTTAAATAAAGTACTTAATAAGACTAAACATTGGGCCCCTTAATAAATGGTAAAGTGCACGTTTGCTTTTCCTCTTGTTCTTTGGTAAGAGATCTAAGGCTTTGTGTACGTCTGTGGCTGTATAATTTCCCTAAAATGAGATGATTTCAAGAAGGGTGCTGACAAAACCCTTTTGAGTGTTTGGTCGGTGGCTCCAATGACCCTGGCTCTGGAGGCCACCTGAGGGGAGAAGCCAGTCTTCCCTGATGCTGCAGTGCTTACCTGACATTGTGGGCCGTGTGGCCTCTGGTTCAGGAGGTCAGTGCAGACCTTAGAACTGTCACGTGTCTGGCAGGTCCC